AAGAATGTACTCTATCCAGAGAAGTTTGTTGAAAAGTTTCATAAAGCTAAATTTTAAAATGAACTACAGCTGTATATACCTGTACTTTCATTATTTCAAGTAGATCACTAAAAGCATACTTTAATAGGAAAATGTTTTGCATTATACAAAATTTTCCAATTTTTAAAGGTTTCAGTTGTTGGTTGTCTTTTATTGGTAGTGCATGTTTATCTATTACTTTAATGATTATTCAACATAATATCAGATTTATCAAACTAATTACAAGAATATTGATAATTTGGGTTATGCTTGTATTATGCTTTTTTATTTAAAAATTAAGTGTATATTTGGCCTTGTTGATTACTAAATTCACTCAAATGCCAAAATTCAAATTATTAAATAATTCTCATGAAAGGGCTTGCTATTGGTGTTTAAGTTGTCAATTTCTGTTAACGTTTAGCTGACATGAATGGGCAATCCCTTCTAAAACTTTAATCATTTGGCTCAGTGTTCTTTCCTTCCTAGGGTCTAAATAATTTCCAGAATAGATGAGGATTCTCAAGTTTTGTCAGTTGGCCTTTCAAAAGAGAGGTCTGTAGATAATCTGTAAACAATCTTAGTGTTCATATGATTGAATTTATCATTCTATGTCAATCTCATTCATAAACATTTGCTAATCTAGTTTGGAAAGCATTATGAGTACATAGATAGGTAGTACCTAATGTGTCCAATGAATAGTATGGGCAAGACAAATCTAGAATGGGTAGAAATTACTATGACGGTTTGGAGAAACCTTCGTGGAGGAAGGGAGAGATTGAATCTTGAAGGAGGGTAACACCTAGATGAGAATAGAAAAATGGGCTGTGAACTGTGGATGGGCCACACTTATGCATCTATTCTTAAGCATTTGATTGATGTTAGGCACAGTTTGATATGCCCTAATAATTAAAATATGAAATAAAAATTAAAACTATATTGAGGAAGCATGTATACTTACTAAATTTGTAAAAAATTACCAAGCCTGAGAGTCAAGTGTTGGTACAGATGTGGAGCTGTGAGAACTCTTGAAGTGCTTATAGCCTGTGACTTAGTGACTTTACCTCCAAATATGATCTTAAGCAATATTTTTCAAACTTTTATTAATATGACCCCCACACTGAATAAAATATATTCTACTTAATGACCCTAGTATACCCACACATGAAATAAAAATTTCATATAATAATAATTGTCCTTACTATGTATAATAAAGGTAAAAAATATAACAAAGCATGTACCAAATATGAATTTAATAGTATTTAAATAAAATATAAATCAAAAATTAAACACTGTAAAAATTTAGGAGATACTTAATGTATTTGCTTCTTTCATAATTTTATTATGGCATAGTTTTTTTGCTAAGAATTTATGCTTATATTTTGATATTTTCTATTGTATTCTATTCCACTTTTAAAAAATGCTGATTGTGATGACTAAATTGATTTAATGACCCATTACTAGATTGCAGTCTGTAGTTTGAAAAATACTGCTTGGGAGAAATTCTTGCTCATCTGCATCAGGAGACATGTTTAAGTGTGTTTATAGCAGCATTGTTTGTATACCCCTTTTCCCAAAATGGGAAGCAGCTAAAGTATACACTGACAAGAGATAGATAAATATATTATAGTATATTTATATAATTATACATAACACTCTATGTATAATTATATAAATATAATTTATATATATGAGCACAGCGCTCACCGTAGCACGATACACCAAGGTAATTGAATTGTAGCCTACGCCTATCAATATGGATGAATTTGGGAACATATGTTGGGCAAAAAATAGCAAGCTACAGAATATGTGTAGTGTGATTTAATTTATTTAAAGTTAAAAAATAAGCTAAACTGTACAATATATCAAATAGGGATATGTACGTCTTTGGACTATTTCTTTATAGTTTGAAGACATAGACGAGAGAAGGCTAAGAACCAAAGTTGTAGGATAGTGCCTTGCTCTGGAGGACATGGAAGTGTTGTAAGGATCAGGGGACCTACAGAGGACTTAAAGATAATGGTAAAGTTGTGTTTCTTAATTGGGTGGTTGTGGATACAAAACAGAATAGTTCTTTGTACCTTACATATTTCTCACATGGTATTTTTGTATGTGTTCAGTATTTAAGTTTTTTTTTTTTAAGAGAGAGAACATGTGCATGTGAGCAGCGGCAGTGGGGGTGGTGCAGAGGGAGAGGGAGAGACCGAATTTCTTTTTGTAATTTATTTCATTGTGTTATGTTAATCACTATATATTACATCATTAGTTTTTGATGTAGTGTTCCATGATTCATTGTTTGCATATAACACCCACTGCTCCATTCAATACATGCCCTCTTTAATACCATCACTGGGTTAACCCATGCCCCCACCCCCCTCCCCTCTAGAACCCTCAGTTTGTTTCTCAGAGTCCATAGTCTCTCATGGTTCATCTCCCCCTCCGATTCCCCCCCTTCATTTTTCCCTTCCTACTATCTTTTTTTTTTTTAACATATAATGTATTATTTGTTTCAGAGGTACAGGTCTGTGATTCAACAGTCTTACACAATTCACAGCGCTCACCATAGCACATACCCTCCCCAGAGTCTATCACCCAGCCACCCCATCCCTCCCACCCCCCACCACTCCAGCAACCCTCAGTTTGTTTCCTGAGATTAAGAACTCCTCATATCAGTGAGATCATATGATACCTGTCTTTCTCTGATTGACTTATTTTGCTTAGCATAATACCCTTTAGTTCCATCCACGTCGTTGCAAATGGCAAGATTTCAGGGTTTTTTTGATGGCTGCATAATATTCCATTGTATATATATATACCACATCTTCTTTATCCATTCATCTGTCGATGGACATCTTGGCTCTTTCCATAGTTTGGCTATTGTGGACATTGCTGCTATAAACATTGGGGTGCACGTACCCCTTCGGATCCCTACATTTGTATCTTTGGGGTAAATACCCAGTAGTGCAATTGCTGGGTCGTAGGGTAGCTCTATTTTCAACTTTTGGGGGAACCTCCATACTGTTTTCCAGAATGGCTGCACCAGCTTGCATTCCTACCAACAGTGTAGGAGGGTTCCCCTTACTCCACGTCCTCGCCAACATCTGTCTTTTCCTGACTTGTTAATTTTAGCCATTCTGACTGGTGTGAGGTGGTATCTCATTGAAGTTTTGATTTGGATTTCCCTGATGCCGAGCGATGTTGAGCACTCTTTCATGTGTCTGTTGGCCATTTGGATGTCTTCTTTGGAAAAATGTCTGTTCATGTCTTCTGCCCATTTCTTGATTGGATTATTTGTTCTTTGGGTGTTGAGTTTGATAAGTTCTTTATAGATTTTGGATACTAGCCCTTTATCTGGTATGTCATTTGCAACTATCTGGGAGAGAGAGAATCTTAAGCAGACTCTACACCCAGTGTTGATGTGGGGCTTGATCTCACCACCCTGAGATCATGACCTGAGCTGAAATCAAGAGTGGGACCCTTAACCGACTGAGCCACCCAGGTGCTCCTAAAATATTTTTAATTAGAAGTCAAGTAAAATAAACAATTAACATTATAGCTTAAAAAATTAGAATATAGTAGATACTCTCACTTTATTCCTGAAACTCATGCTGTTTTGCATCCTATTCTTGAAGCTCCTCCTCAAGTCATTTGCAGCATGTTTAATAAGGGGTAGGTATGGGAGTACAAAATAAATTGATATTTAAGAATCAAATGAACATCACTGATAGCTCAGAGATGGAATGAAGGTCAGGGTTTTCTATTAAGCATCCTACTTAATAACACAACAGTATATTATAACTTGATGTGTCTTATTGGTTGACAGGAAGATAGGGCTTTGGGGAAGGGTGCTGTTAAGAATGACCTGGATGCTTTCAAAAAGCTTGTAAGCGTGTAATGAGTGCTTAATAAATATCAGTTGAAAAAAATGAACAAAAGTTGGGTTGACAAAAGTTGAAGTTTAGAAAGAGATAGTATCAGGATATGGATTTCAGTTTTGGCATGTTTCAAGTTCCAGCAGATAATCCAAGTGGAGGTATTATATTGAAAGTTGGAAATGTGGCATTGGTGATTGGGAGAGAGTCAGGACTGAATTAGGATTAGTAAGACTCTCAGAGATGAGACCAGAAGCCAAGAAGGGGTAAATTTTCTGAGACAAGAGCTGTAGGGATAAGAGAGAAACTATGAATTGAGTCATGGACATGTCCTGTAATTAGGTATTGTTTAGGTATCTCTGGCAGGTGAAAAAAACATTCAATTGAAAAAACTGGCAATTTTGGGGCTGCCTGGGTGGCTCAGTTGTTAAGCATCTGCCTTCAGCTCAGGTCATGATCCCAGGGTCCTGGGATCAAGCCCCGTATTGGGCTCCCTGCTGGGTGGGAAACCTGCTTCTCCCTCTCCCCCTGCTTGTGTTCCCTCTCTCGCTGTCTCTCTCTCTCTCTCTGTCTCTGTCAAATAAATAAATAAAAAACTATGGCAGTTTTAATATCCTGAATATGTTTTCTACACAGCAAGATAGCTTTCATACCAAAACTAACTTGCCATTTTCCAGTCTTGAAAATTATGTATGCCTTCACAAAACTATAATTGTTTCTCTAAAAAATGTTTTCTTCCAAATGATACTCAAATAAGAGGGTAATTCTTATCGTAGCTACATACACATTTTCTTTGACTGGAATATTTTATAAAATTCTGTTTTTCTTCTGTTATGCACCTAAATCCCAAAAGTTTGCTTTCTGAATGTGGCTTAATATTTGGCATCCAGTTTTTATATGTTCTTCATCTTAAACTAATAAACAGATACCATACTTGCACCGTTTACTTGAAAATTGATGGGCATGTCACCAGAAATGAGAACTGTGATAATAGACATTATTATGAAAGCTAGTTAATCCTAATATTATCAATCAAAATGTGGAACTTTTTAAATAAAATAATTTTTTCTTAGAAATCCAGCTTACCAATAATTGTGATTTTTTTTTCCATAGAGAGAAACAGGACTACAAATAGAAATAAATGACCTTGTAAAACGGAAGATTGCAGTTGATGAAGAAAATGCTTTCTTAAGGAAAGAATTCAGCAACTTGCAGAAGAAATTTAAAGATAAAAGTCAAGAAGTTAAGGTGTGTTGGCTTGTACATAGTTTTACAGCACTGTTGCTTTGAAGTCCTACTTTAAGCTTTGTCAGCCTCTGTGGCACAGAAAGTGACAAGCTTGGAGGAAAAATTGCCCTAGGCCCTGCTGTACCACGCAGTTTTCTCACATGCAAAAACTGAGAAAGATGCTTTAAAGATAAGACTCCAAGCTTTATAACTTTCAGATAAATAGTTAATGATGGAAATGGAGCTAAGAAAGTAGGAGTGTGAATATGTGGCTTCTTGTAATTAGATTCTGATGGGACTGGCATTATTAATTGATAAAACCCAGGTCTGGGAGGATATGTCTGTGTGGGTCTCAAAAATAGCTGGGGACAGCATCAAAGGCAGCTTGATCAATTAATGGGCTCTTTGCAAATGTGTACTCATCAAAGCTGTCATCCAGTGAAAAAATATGACCCATCCACCTGCATGAAAAGAGGCCAATAAAAGTATACAGGTGACCTTGGCCATCAAATATAGAAGAAGCTGCTGTGAGGGTAAAACTGTACAGTTTATATTTGCTGATTAGTTCTCACCTTTTTTTGTTGTTGTTTTGTTTATCGGCCCTTGTGGTACTGTTCTACAGGACACTAAGGAGTGTGTACAGAATAAGGAAGAGCAAAACAGACTGGTTATAAAAAATCTGGAGGAGGAAAATGAGAAATTAAGTACCCGCTGTGCTGACCTGCTAAATGACCTGGAGAAACTGAGGAAGCAAGAAGCACATTGGAGAAAAGAAAAACATAGCATTGATGCAAAAATAAAGGTATTCAGTGAGAGTGTAGAGAATGAGAATAATGCTGTTATTTCGGATCTAACTTCTTATAGGAAGTTTATTACATGTGATTTTCTTTAAATAACGTTACATATTCAAATCCACCAGTGGGGACCAGCATTAATTTATATTCTTTCACTTAACGACCCACAGCTTTTTAAAAATTGATGTTGCAAAGCAGGAAACTGACTTCAAATAGTTATCTAAAATGTAATCATTAAAAAATAAAGGCTATAGCATTTTGAAATGAAAAATGTTTTGAAAAAACATATTTAAAATCATGAGGTTTGACATTTTTCAGTTAGAGCTTAAATTTATAAATACAGCTAGAATTCATTACAGTAGAGTTTTAAGAATGTATTTTCCAGGTCTTCTAAAAAATAAAATATGAAGAAAGCACAAAGCAATTGAAAAATACTCATATGTGTTTTGAAGATGGTGCTTTTCTTTGGCATAAGAGGGCCTTATTCATAGTAAGATTTTATTTTCATAGAAAATAAAAGGTACAATCAATCTTTATACTATGTCCATCAGTATTTTTCAAAGTAATATTTTTTTGGTGGCTTTCTCTTTGTCTTGAGAATGTTTTTGCTAAATTTTTTTTCCATTGAATTTCAGGTTTCTTTTTTACCATAGATTTTGTTGAAAAGGCCAGAAACAAATTTTTGTGCTAGTAAATATGATAGTGCCTCTATGTATGCACACATAAAAAGAATATATAAGTACACACATGTATATATATATAGCTATTAAAATGTACTAAGTATGGATATGTGTGTATGTGTGTATGATCATTTCAGAGGTGAAGGGATATGTATTTCTGAGTGTGTGACTCATTTCATTTCACATATTTAAGGAAATACATTAAATCTTTTAGTGTATCATCAGGGAACAACTGAGCCATTGGGAGAATTGAATTCTGGTGCATTTGTTTTCTCAACTTTTATGTCAGTTTCTGCTTCCCTGCAACCTTTAAGCAGTTTGGTAGTGTGATAAGTGTGAATGGTACTTCCTTATGTTAATTCATAGGTATATGAGTATTTGATGATACTTTTCATATCATTGATGACTGTTCATTATGTGATTTTCTGTGATTTTTGTTCTATGACTTTTTTTTTTTTAAATTTTATTTATTTATTTGAGAGAGAGAATGAGAGATAGAGAGCACGAGAGGGAAGAGGGTCAGAGGGAGAAGCAGTCCCCCCGCTGAGCAGGGAGCCCGATGTGGGACTCGATCCCGGGACTCCAGAATCATGACCCAAGCCGAAGGCAGTCACCCAACCAACTGAGCCACCCAGGCGCCCCCCTATGACTTTTTTTTTAATTGGGGAGTATGTCTTATTAATTTGTAGACATTTTTTATTTATTCTGGGTAGTAATACTTTGTTGTATATATTACAAGTACTTTCTGTTCCATGAATCTCAAGTAAGGTGAATTGGATTTTGAAAAGTTTGTGGATCTAGAAAGAGTATGTGTTACTATTCTCTAATGTTTTTGCATTAGGAATCTTATATGCGAAAGTTTTCCCTATTCCAAAGTCTGTAATCTACTTAGAATTTATTTTGGGGTATGTTGTTTCACACCATTTATTCAATAGTTTATTGATTTGTGATGCAATCTCTCTCACATCTCAAAGTGTTCTTCTGTGTATAGGTTTGTTTCTGGACATCTTATTATTTTCATGGTTTTAGGTATTGTAGTTTTGTCTGCTTCTTTTTCTTATTTTTGTAAGTCATGAACCCTATATGTGCTTCTTCACTATCTTATAATATTTAAGAACTATTTTGTTACTGGGGCACCTGGGTGGCTCAGTTGGTTGAGTTCTTAGTTTTGGCTCAGGGTGTGAGATTGAGTCCCACAAGGTGCTCTGCACTCAGCAAGGAGTCTGCTGGAGATTCTCTCTCTCCCTCTCTCCCTCCCCTCACATTCATGCACGTTCTCTCTGTCTTTCTCTCTTTCTCTCTTTCTCTCTCTCAAATAAATAAATCTTAAAGAAAAGGAACCATTTTATTAGTTTTACTGAAAAATTCTGTTAGAAAGTAGATTGGAACCACACTTAGTTTATGAATTAATCTTGGGAGAATTGTGACCCTACTCTTCATGTATGTGGAATAAGATTTTGTAATTTTCTTAAAATGGCATTGTCCACTGTTACTAGATTTATTCCTAGCTACTAATATTATTGTAAAAAAGATTGTATAATGGTAAGTAATATTTCAATGATTTCTGGAAGGCAGGATTGTTACTGATTTATCTAACCTTTTCAATAATTTTTTCTAATTATCTTATTAATTCTAAAATGTACATTTTCTTGATTTTTCTACATTATTAAGAAAACTTTGCATCTTTCTGTCCTTTCTAAAATATTAATTGGCATATAATTCACATTTAATCCATTTAAAATTCACAGTCCAAGTGCACTAGTTTTTAGTTTATGCAGAGTTGTACAATTACTACAATTACTTCTAGAACATTTTCATTATTTGAAAAAAAAAAACCCTGTAACCTTTAGCAATCACTCTGCATTTACCCCTTCACCCTGCATCTCTTGATAACCAGTAATCTGCTTTCTCTTTCTATAGATTTGTCTATTCTAAACATTTCATATAAATAAAATCATAGTATATGGTCTTTTGTGACTGACTTCTTCTACTTAGAATAATGTTTTCAGTGTTTATCCACGTTGTAGCATGTATCAGTACTATGTTCCTTTTTATTGTTGAATAATATTCCATTACATAGCTATCCTACATTTTACTTATTTATCTCCAGTGGATGGACATTTGTGTCTTCAGTGATGTTGCTATGACCATTTGTGTACAAGATTTCATGTACACATACATATATTTTTATTTCTTTTAGGTACATGCCAAGGATTGAGATTACTGGGTCACATGGTAACTGTTTTTAAGCTTTTGAGGAACTGTCAGACTGTTTTGAAAAGCAGCTGTACCACTTTACATTGTAAACAGCAGTATGTGGGTGTTCTGATTTCATTTTGTTCTCATCAACACTTGTTATTGTCTGCCTTTTCGCTTTGTTTTTGTGGATGTGAAGTGGTGTCTCATTGTGGTTTTGATTTGCATTTCCCTGGTGGCTAATGATGTTGAGCATCTTTTCATATGCTACTGGCTATTTGTCTATTTTTTAAGAAATGCGTATTTCATTCCCTTTACATATACTTCTGGATACAAGTCTCTTTTCAGCTGTATAATTTGAAACTATTTTCTTCAATTCTTGGAGTTGTTTTTACTTTATTAATGGTGTTTTTGAAGCATAAAAGTTTTAAATTTTGATAATTTATCCTTCTAAATTTTGACAATTTATCTTTCTTTTGTTACCCATGCTTTTGGTGTCATATCTGAGAAACCGTTGCCTAACCAAAGATCAAGAAGATGGACACCTATGTTTTCTTCTAGAAGAGTTCTTCCAAGAGTTTTATAGTTTTATATCTTGTCTTTAATTCTTTGATCCATTTTGAGTTAACTTTTTAATATGGTGTTTGATGGGAATCCAACTTCATTCTTTTGCACATGTTATTCAGTTGTTCAGACACCATTTGTTGAAACAGACTATTCTTCCCCCCCTTGCCCCACTGCTACTGCCTTGGCATGTTTGTTGAGTATCAGTGGACTGTAAATATAAGGATTTATTCTGGACCTCTCTTCTGTCCATTTGATTTATACATTTATCCTCATGTCTGTGCCACACTGTTGATTACTGTAGATTTGTAATAGATTTTGAAATTGGGATATGTGTATCATCCAGATTTTTTATTCTTTTTTTTTTTTCAAAATAGGCTATTTTGGGCTCTTGCATTTCCATATGAATTTTAGAATCATCTTTTCCATTTCTTACAAAAAAAGCAAGTTGGGTTTATTTTAATAGAGATTGCATTGAATCAGAAGATCGATTTGGCAAATATCACTGTCTTAGCAGTATTGTAACTTCTACTCCATCAACACGGGTTGTTTCATTTTTTTAGGTCTACTTTAATTTCTTTCAGTAATGTTTTGTGGTTTTTGGAGTATCATGCACTGCTTTCCAGAAGTATTTGCACTTCTTTGGGGATGTATTATTCCTTTTTTTTAATGGAATTCATTTCTTTTTTTTTTAATTTAAATTCAATTAGCCAACATACAGTACATCATTAGTTTCTGATGTAGTGTTCAGTAATTGATCAGTTGTGTATAACACCCAGTGCTCAGGTACATATTATTCCTAAATTTTTAATTTTTACTCTATTCTAAGTGGAATTGTTTCTTCATTTCCTAATGTATAGGTATATAATTAATTTTTATATAGTGATTTTATATCCTGCAGCCTTGTTCAATAAGGTTGATTCTTTAGGACTTTCTATATGTAAGATCATGTCATCTACAAATAGAGAGAGTATTACTTCTTCTTTTCAAATCTGGATGCCTTTTATTTCATTTTATTGCCCATTACCCTGGCTAGAATCTCTAGTATGTAATTGAATAGAAAAAAAGAGTAGACATCTATGTCTTGTTCCTGATCTCATGGGGAAAGGATCTACTCTTTCACCCTTAAGTATGATATTTGCTCTTAGGTTTTGTTGATACACTTTATCAGATTGAGGAAGTTTCCCTCTATTCCTAGTTTTTGAATGTTGTTGTTTTTATCATGAAGGGGTTTTGGATTTTGGCAAATGCTTTTTTTTATATCTATTGAAATGATCATGTGGTTTTTGTATTTTATTCTATGGGTATGGTATGTATTTTACTTGAATTTGGATATTAAATCAACTTTATGTTGCTGGGATATTTTTATCTTTATCTGGCTTTGGTACCAAGATAAACCTGGCCTTGTAGAAAGAATTAGAAAATGTTTCCTCCTCTCATATTTTTTGGAAGAGTTCAAGAAGAATTGGTATTCATTCTTTTAAAATGTTTGGTAGAGGGGTGTCTGGGCAGCTTAGTCAGTTAAGCATCCGACTCTTGATTTTGGCTTGGGTCATGATCCTCAGGGT